TTCCGACAGTATTCAGATGTGCACCACTAGGCCCTGATAGTATCTTGTCGGCTGGCAGAAGAGGAATGTCTGAGAAAGTACTGTCATATAATGTTGAGGGTAAGACTGACACATATGCACCTGTGTCAATCTTCGCCCGTAGTGATCGATTGCAAAATGTGGTATCGACTAGCCACTTATCATTTTTATAAAATTTAGTTGATATTTGTCCGATAAAAGTTGTATCTTCACCATTATCGTCACAGATTTGCTCAGTTACAGAGTGCACTTTTTTAAACTGACATAATTTACCAAAGTGTCCCTTATTTTTACACACATAACAATGAGCATTTTTAGCAGGACATTGAGGTCTGGGGTGTTCATTTCCTCCACACCAAGAACATTTATTTCTAGGACTATTATGTCTCTCAGTTGTGTACTGTTTACTTGTGCTTGATGAAGAATATTCTTTTTTAGTCTTAGCGAATGGTTTTCGTGCCGATACTTTATCTGCTGACACAACAGACCGCCTCAGTTCTTGCTGTTGCTTCCTCACGGCCTCTGACTGTCTGGCACTAGTGACTGCCATTTCCAAGGTTAGATTGGCGTTTAATTGCAATTTCTCACTCAAACCTTTATCGAGAATCCCAATGACAACTCGATCTCTTATAGCTTCATCGACGAAATCAGGTGGGAAAGAGCAACTCTGAGATATAGCATGTAAATCCGTTACAAAGTCCTCCACCGCTTCACCTTCCATTTGCTTCCGGGTATGGAATCTGACGCGTTCATAAATCACATTCTTAGTTGGAATAAAATAAGAATTGAACTTTCCAAGGACTAGATCAAATTGTTTCATCTCTGCAGGTGTTAGTTTGAATGACTGAAGGATATGTTCAGCCTGTGGTCCCATGAGATATATTAGTGAATTGACTTGATCTTCTTCTAGTTTATTCATTAGTCCTGAAGCACTTCTGAAACGATTGAATCGTACCTTCCAACTATCCCATTCTTCCCCTGACTTGAAAGAGAACGGCTCTGGTGCTGGTATCTGCCCAGATAACACACATACATCCATTGGATGTCCATTTTGAATCCATTAGGTAGCCGGATGTCCATGGATGTCCAATGGACATCCATTGTGTATATGTACAATGGACATAGAGATTTTTACATACAATGGACATCCATTTTGTAGTTGTACAATGGACAACGAAATTTTTACAGCCAATGGATATCCATTTTACTTATCCAATGGAAATCATCGTTTCGCAAAGTATATATGTGTCATTTATGACTCTTCTATTTCAATTGAAATATTTTTACCAATAATATATAATATATATATGAACATTAATCACGGACAACTTCGCACTCGGTACTATTTTTCAAGATTTTATACGTCTCATCATTTTTGTAGGTTACGTACCTATATGTAGGTACTTATTTTAAAGTTGATTTTCATCCAATTTCAATTTTAAACCATTTAGGCCGTGCAAATAAGATCGATATGGGCAAATATTATACGGCGGGTTTCTTTCGAAAAAGATGAATCACCCTGTAACACTTTTGATAAGGGCCGTGTAAAAGCTTTATTGCGGCACTAAACTTCAGCAAATTGCATTTTCTCTCGATGTGAAATACCGTGAATACGAAATACTTGCTATAATATTTATAACAGCTCAGTGGTCCAGAGGTTAGCGTTGTAATCCACGAGATCGGGGTCGGGAGTTCAATCCCCTCAAAGGACAACTTTTTTTTAATTTCTACGTTCTGGCTGGACAAAATTTGGATATCCAATGGAAATCCAATGTATTCCTGATGAGTATCCAATAGACTTATCATTGGAATGGACATAAGTTGGATTTTTGGTAGACACCCATTAGAGTTCTGATGTGTATACAATGGTATTTCAAGTGTAATGGACATACAATGGATCTTCATTGGGAATCCATTGGATGTCTGATGAGTATCCAATAGACTTCCAATGGAAAGGACAAATATTGGATGTCCAATGGAAATCCATCAGATGTCTAATGGAAAGCCAATGGACTTCCAATGTATGTCCAAACTGTTGGACATGTATTATCCAATGGATGTCCATTGGACAAATACTGGACAATGCCGTCCATCCAATGGATGTCCAGGGTATCCATAGCTGGACATCCATTGGTTGTCTAATGGATTCACTTGTGTTGTCTGGGTGATAGACCGGATGAATTGGCATTGCTTGCGGCATTGTCTCCGAAGGTGTCGGCATTGTAGTTTTAGTTATATATTGGGTTCTAGTTTTAGGTCACGGTATAGTCAATGGTTAGATCCACTGTAGCTGCCACCATGTAATATTGGGTTGTAGTGATACACAATAGTATAGGTAATAAACGTGTATTCAAGATCCAATATCGTGATTGACCTCCGTGTCAATCTGACATCCATAACATAATAATCTGACAACCTATTCAGTGAGTGTTCACAAGACTAAGACAAACATATAAACACGGCTAACTACAATACATTACATAAGCAATAATAAATGGCCATTTGAAAGAACATTGTGAACCAAAATGGAGAAAAACCAATTTTTCACCGTAGGTACAGTCGTATTCAATAAAAAAGCGTACTAGTATTAAACATAGAAGATTTCGCCATTCTAGTTCTCGCTGTGTAAGAATGGCTCAGCCAATGCTTTGTGTTTTTGGGAACCTATGATTACTCTACTGTCAACATTTGGTAGACATTCATTCCCGATAGCTCGTTTTACGCAAATATGATAACTTCAATTTTTCCCTGCAATATACTTGTACGCTTTTTTTTTTAATACGACTGTATATCGATAACTGATCCATCAGCTGCGAATAATTTGTACTCTGTGGGGCTCGGTCGCACGGTTTTGCTAAAATGACGTGGAAGAACAGATACATCAGCGCCAGTGACCATGAGAAATTTCATTCCAGCTTTTTTCTCAGTGATAAATGTGCGCCGGTTCCGGTGACCGTCGTTGACCGCCTCTATTGGCGGCGACGGCTCAGATCGTTTCCCGATTGCGGAGGATTCTTTTCAAAAGAACAGGGTAATTGACATCTTCTAGTTCTAGCAAATATGCCCAAACGATTATGATAGAAACACCAATCCTTCCTTTGATATCGCTACCTAGGTCAGGACCTGCTTCTATCCCGCGAAGATCGTTTCTGGCATGCCTTAGTGAATCTACAGATATTGTTAGATTTTCAATTTGTTGTTGTAACACCGAGACCAAATCTTCTGCATAAGATTTTGATGGAATTGTTAGAATATGTTGATCTTTGGAAGAGCTGACGACTGTTACATGTTGTTTGAGGTGAATATTGCACTTATACTTCGAGAATCTCGTCAGCCATATTAGCCATCTTGCTCAACTCTACTCCTTCACTGGCAGATAGAACGATCTGTACTTTAGAAGGCATTCTCTGCAACCAGCTGCCAAAATCTCCATCCCTCTGAAGAGATGTGACGGTTTCTGGTTACCCAAATCTAAATCGATAAGATGCATTCTTATTTGTTTTTTTTTCTGATTCAGAAAGCAATCAATTGAGATTTGAGACTTGCATATTCATCAAAATGAGTGGGCTCGGTGATAAAATCCGCCACTTGTTGTGAAACTGAAGTATCTAACGCTATAAATAACGATGCAATATTTATCATTATTGCGAATTTTACATACGTGGAAATGTGCTTCTACTTGGTTAAACCATAAAGCAAGATTAGTTTGCAGAAGGATTATTCAGATCTGAAGCAACGTATTCTGTTCGGGGTCACCAATTATGGATAACAGTTGTAGATACTATACTAATTAAAACTAACAACAGATTATCAGTAAATGCCTGTAACACCTTATACCTACAAGGTACACATCTCAACGTACACAACATACTGAATGATTCGACACAAAATCAAACTGCTTGGAACCGTCGAAAAAAAAATAGCAGTTGTAACTCTTATCGTAACACAGTGTGGAATACTGATATGGAGACTAGTGATACAATCCTTGTATAAGTCTAACTTCATTGTTGAATGTGCTCATTTTACGATTCCACATCGTTCCATATACCAGTGTTCCACAATGTATGTATACAAGCTTCATAAAATATGTATGTATGTTGTATGTACATACAGGCTGATTCACGGTGGATGGCACATTAGACGTTTCTGGTGAACCAGACAACGGATCATTTTGAAAATTCAATGGAGGGCATATTCGACATTCTCTAGCCAACTAAAATATTTTCGACAATGCGGTGTTGCCGCTTCTATTAGAAAGCAGTAGCAACTTTGATTTTTCAAATGGAACACTCTGTATTTTATTGCATTTTCAGATTCTCCCTGGAGAGCTGATTTCATCGATGTATCATACTTGGGGTCTAGCGGAAATGATTACAGAGATATAGGGTGTGAAAAATCGACATTTTTCAACTTTAGGATTTTTTTGTGTCGAAACTATTCATCATTGATCGAAACGGCTCACATGTCCCTATCTCAACTTTTGATTAACTATCTACTGGTATTTAATTGGGACATATACCAGGTGATCAAGATTCTGAATTCTGCACCACCCTGTATTTGTTTCAATTAAATGTTAGTAGATAATTGATCAAAAGTTGAGATAGGGACATGTGAGCCGTTTTGACCAATAATGGATAGTTTCGACAAAAAAAATTCCTAAAGTTGAAAAATGTCGATTTTTCACACCCTATATCTCTGTAATCATTTCCGCTAGACCCCAAGTGTGATACATCGATGAAATCTGCTTTTCATGGAGAATCTAAAAATGCAATAAAATACAGAGTGTTCCATTCGAAAAATCAAAGTTGCTACTGCTTTCTAATAGAAGCGGCAACACCGCATTGTCGAAAATATTTTAGTTGGCTAGAGAATGTCCGAATATGCCCTCCATCGAATTTTCCAAATTATCCGTTGTCTGGTTCACCAGAAACGTCAAATGTGCCATCCACCGTGAATCAGCCTGTATATAAATGTTATTCAAGGTAGAACGGAACCCTACGAGGAATGCGATTGTGGTACCAAACGAGATTGTGAAGAGTTTGATGCTTGTTGTATACCACGTGGAATGCTGAACTCTTGCAAAATTCGGAGGGATAAAGGATACCAGTGCCATCCTTCACAGGGTTTATGTTGCTCTTCCACATGCCAGTACAGAGACTTGTCAATGCATAACTTGGTAAAAGTGGTTGATGGAGCAACTTTCTGATGATTCATTCGTTTATTCATGTATTTTATATTTCTATTCAACTCCAAAAGTTCTCTCTTTATTGAATACATGATTTGAACAGTTGAACAGTTACCAGAAAACTATTTCAACTTATTCAATGTCATTTTTAGAACTGCATGGACTTTCAAAGAAGTTGTCCTTGTATGGATGATTCCGAAGTATGTTCCTGTGGAATTCAAGGGACATGTGTCGATAACATATGCAACAGTGATGAATGTGCAAGAATAAATATGAAAGAATGTGTATGTTCGCAAGAGACTACTGGGATAATGTCCAGATGTTCAACATGCTGCTTGTTCAACGATTCCTGTCTACCTGCAAGTATTCTAACAACAAAAATAATGGAGAACAAGACTTTCGTAGAAAACCTAATTGATTCAGAAATAGATAGAGAAAATTACGTTATGCATAAGCAATTTTGTAATAAGAATGGGGAACAATGTGTGCGATTTTATTTTCGAGAAGTCCAGCCAGGAGAATACTGTTTACTTTTTGGTAAATTAGGAATATGCAACAGCAGCTATAAATGTATAATTCCAGAATTGAATCTTAAATATCCTGATCTACCTATTGCAAAGATGAGGAGTAGTAATGCCAAATTTTCGATACGGGTTTTTGAATGTGATGTGCTTATTAAGTTCTCATCATTGTTGTTATTTTTATTTTTGTTTCAATAAAACAATATTGCATGTGAATGATTGCCAATTTCAATCAATAACCCCAATACTTTTATAGAACCTCTCTCTTCTTTCTAAGGTATTTTATATTTACTTATTTATACCAATATGTTTGATCTGATTTCTCTCACTCTCAACCCTGTTCCAAATTACTCCGATATGATGAGATGTTCCATTTTATTTTATGAGGTTGAATTTAAAGTAAAAACGAACGTTGGTGAGTTTATGTATTAGATATCCTATATACTTTCCTAGCCCAATCCTGCCAGGGTTTAAAATACCTAGGTATAGTTACCTGTTCTAGTAACCAGGAGGTAGAAATCGAGTAGTTCAATAATAAGATAATGAATAAATCATGAATTTCTTATCGATCAAGAGAGCAAATGAAATAATGATAATAATCCCTTGCTGATTATCGAATAAAATACAAAGTGTTCCATATGAAAATTGAAAGTTGATGTAACCTCCAGGAAAATCGGAAGATGCAAAAAAAATCAAAAATGTGAAAAAGTGTCATCTAGTGAGCATATTTGATGTTCCAAATTTCAGAAATATAGATAGAAAAACGAAGGAGAAAAAGAGAGTTTACGATAATAGCATGTGTCACCCGCGGTACAGGTTCCATTTTCATTTCAAAATGGGAAAAGAAGTTATAAAATTACCGTAAAAACGGGTTAATTTTCCCAATTTGTTCTATTTTTTTCATATTAATCAGATAGAGGAAAACATTTCATCACTATCGAAAATAACACTCCCAGCGACCACAAAAACATCTCAGAGATGTTAAAAGTAAGAGATTTCGAGACATTGAACCGCCACTGCGATGTTCTGTTCACACATGGATAGAACTATTATAGAACAGCCAATGTCTGCCGCAGGGGGCAATTATCGAGATGTCCTTGATATGTTACAAAACTACCTTCCCCCTAGTTCTTTTTAAAGCCATTTCATGGACACAACAGAACATTTTCAACGCGTCTTGCGCACATTAAATCGCTGTAAAAAAACATTTTCGAGGTACTTTTCTGAAGCCTTTTGTCAAAATGAACTTTTGCATTAGGATTCCATTTCCCTTGAATGAAAAAATGCATTAAAAATAGATTGAACATAAAAATATTTTCTTGATATGAAATTACCTTCTTAATCGGCTTCTGAGTAGTGCTTACTACACACAGACATATAATTGGAAATAGGTTTCCCAATTTTTTGAATGTTCTCCACAATGCATAATTTTGCAACTGCGGAGAAGCTGTGTATTGATGAATTCGTACTTTTATATATTGATTACACTGAGGCACCGAACAACACATCTTGCATCTGATGGTCATTATTACAAACTAAATAAGTCTTCTAACACAATAAACTTCACCAAATTCCTTTCTGTTCGTTAGCAGCGTGATGTAAGCGTGACACGCTGCAAACGCGAATGCCAATTGCGAACAAGAAGAACAAGATCGAAAACAAATCAGAATTCATCGTATTGTGACGTAAGCATGAAATGTTGTGGTGGGGCAAACAAAGAAAGGGCACAAAAGAACAAAAACAATACTCTCAATATCCTTCTAAGACCTCTTTGGGAAGTGCATATTACGCCTCAAAAAAACATCCTCATGCCCACATTTCTAAAACATCCCAAAACATCCCAGGGATACCTCTCAGTAGGCAAACAAAGAAATGCTACAGAAAAACGAAAACAATACTTCAATATCCTTCAAAGACCTCTTTGGTCAGTGCATATTACGTCTCAAAATGACATCTTCATGCCAACATTCTCAAAACATCCCAAAACATCCCAGGGATGTTTGTGCTCGCTGGGCTGGATGTATCTTCATTAGAAGAATGGTATTTCACTATGAAATGTATAATGAGCAGTTTCGCTGAAAGAAACATCAAATATAGTGATCAAAGTCACCTCGCCGATTGGGGTGTCTTTGTTCAAGCATAGGTATATTCAATAGGATTGCCATCTCTAAAATATGAAACTTTCAGCTTCATGTGGCTGAATGTTTTCTGTCGGATGTCTTGGTTTTGGGGCCTGTAGTTGATTGCGGATGGATCTGTCGATTCGTGAACTGCTGTAACCATTCTGTAGTAAGGTCCCAGCGAGCACAAACATCCCTGGGATGTTTTGGGATGTTTTGAAAATGTTGGCATGAAGATGTTATTTTGAGACGTAATATGCACTGACCAAAGAGGTCTTTGAAGGATATTGAAGTATTGTTTTTGTTCTTCTGTGGCATTTCTTTGTTTGCCTACTGAGAGGTATCCCTGGTATGTTTTGGGATGTTTTAGAAATGTAGGCATGAGGATGTTTTTTTGAGGCGTAATATGCACTTCCCAAAGAGGTCTTAGAAGGATATTGAAAGTATTGTTTTTGTTCTTTTGTGCCCTTTCTTTGTTTGCCCCACCACAACGTCTCATGCTTACGTCACAATACGATGAATTCTGATTTGTTTTCGATTTTGTTCTTCTTGTTCGCAATTGGCATTCGCGGTTGCAGCGTGTCACGCTTACATCATGCTGCTAACGAACAGAAAGGAATTTGGTGAAGTTTATTGTGTTAGAAGACTTATTTAGTTTGTAATAATGACCATCAGATGCAAGATGTGTTGTTCGGTGCCTCAGTATAATCAATATATAAAAGTACGAATTTATCAATACACAGCTTCTCCGTAGTTGCAAAATTATGCATTGTGGAGAACTAAATAAGTCTTCTAACACAATAAACTTCACCAAATTCCTTTCTGTTCGTTAGCAGCATGATGTAAGCGTGACACGCTGCATTGTGGAGAACATTTCAAAAATTGGGAAACCTATTTCCAATTATATGTCTGTGTGTAGTAAGCACTACTCAGAAACCGATTAAGAAGGTAATTTCATATCAAGAAAATATTTTTATGTTCAATCTATTTTCAATGCATTTTTCCATTCAAGGAAAATGGAATCCTAATGCAAAAGTTCATTTTGACAAAAGGCTTCAGAAAAATACCTCGAAAATGGTTTTTTTTACAGCGATTTAATGTGCGCAGGACGCGTTGAAAATGTTCTGTTCTGTCCATGAAAAGGCTTTAAAAAGAACTAGGGAGAAGGTAGTTTTGTGACATATCAAGGATATCTCGATAATTGCCGCCTGCGGCGGATATTGGCTGTTCTATAATAGTTCTATTCATGTGTGAACAGAACATCGCAGTGGAGGTTCAATGTCTCGAAATCTCGTACTTTTAACATCTCTGAGATGTTTTTGTGCTCGCTGGGGTAGATTTGAGTTTGCTCAACCCTTGTGGTCGGTTTTATGATTGTCGCTGAGTTGAATCGATCTGTGGATGAGGGAATTCAACACGGAGTTGGTTTGTGCAGAATGATGATGGGAGTTTGCATGAAAATGACGTTTGGTATGAGTAGGTTTCCTGTATACGCGGTATGGGTAAATGAGTCGTTGGCTTTATAGTGATGGCAACATCTAAGAAAGGGAGAGAATTGTCGATTTCGGTTTCCATTATGAACTTCATATTGGGATGGATGTTGTTGATATGATCTAGAAGTTCCTGGAGGATTTCGTAACCATGCATGAGGCCATATGACGAAAATATCGTCTACGTATCTGATCCAGCAAGTAGGCTGCTTCGCTGCTTGTGTTCAAATGCATCTATAGCCTTGGTTTCAAAGTCTTCCATGAAGATGTTGGCACGGACTGGGGACTAGGGGGAACTCATTGGTGCACCTATCACATGTTTGTAATAAGTATACCTTATTGGAAAAGAAAATTTGTGTTTTTTATACACTCTGATTAATGAGATCCAGAGGGTGCCTTTTGGTATTTTGTTTCATATTTTTCATTGAACCTGTAAAAGTGTGGCGTGCAAATTGAAGAACAGTTCTTATGGCATTTTGTCTGATCTTTTTGAATCAGATATGAAATTTCTAGAGAAAAATGATCACAAAGCGAAATGTTTTTATTATATAATTACACTAAAACATGAATTATTCCCAAGTCCAGATCTGTTTTTTTTACATAATATGCCACCTGGAATAGTTGCAGTGGAGATAAAAGTCGCTGCCAAATTTCAGCAAATCATTGTCCATAAAGCAATTCCACATAATTCCATATATCTTCGTTATGGAGGGTCAAAAAGTTCTTCATAACATTACCAGTTCCAATCTTCTCCTGAAGATCCCAGCGAGCACAAAAACATCTCAGAGATGTTAAAAGTAGGAGATTTCGAGACATTGAACCTCCACTGCGATGTTCTGTTCACACATAAATAGAACTATTATAGAACAGCCAATGTCCGCCGCAGGCGGCAATTATCTAGATGTCCTTGATATGTCGCACAAAACTACCTTCTCCCTAGTTCTTTTTAAAGCCTTTTCATGGACACAACAAAACATTTTCAACGCGTCTTGCGCACATTAAATCGCTGTAAGAAAAACATTATACGAGGTACTTTTCTGAAGCCTTTTGTCAAAATGAACTTTTGCATTTGGATTCCATTTCCCTTGAATGAAAAAATGCATTAAAAATAGATTGAACATAAAAATATTTTCTCGATATGAAATTACCTTCTTAATCGGTTTCTGAGTAGTGCTTACTACACACAGACGTATAATTGGAAATAGGTTTCCCAATTTTTGAAATGTTCTCCACAATGCATAATTTTGCATCTGCGGAGAAGCTGTGTATTGATAAATTCGTACTTTTATATATTGATTACACTGAGGTACCGAACAACACATCTTGCATCTGATGGTCATTATTACAAACTAAATAAGTCTTCTAACACAATAAACTTCACCAAATTCCTTTCTGTTCGTTAGCAGCATGATGTAAGCGTGACACGCTGCAACCGCGAATGCCATCAATTGCAAACAAGAAGAACAAAATCGAAAACAAATCAGAAAAAGAAAGGGCACAAAAGAACAAAAACAATACTTTCAAAATCCTTCTAAGACCTCTTTGGGAAGTGCATATTACGCCTCGAAAAAAACATCATCATGCCTACATTTCTAAAACATCCCAAAACATCCCAGGGATACCTCTCAGTAGGCAAACAAAGAAATGTCACAGAAGAACAAAAACAATACTTCAATATCCTTCAAAGATCTCTTTTGGTCAGTGCATATTACGTCTCAAAATAACATCTTCATGCCAACTTTTTCAAAACATCCCAAAACATCCCAGGGATGTTTGTGCTCGCTGGGATGCAAACATAGTTAGCGAAACACGTGTCGAGGCGTATAAAAAAATCGGTTTGGTTAGTGGTGAAACAGTGTAGTGTATAATCGTGCCAAAAAGGTTTCAGTCCCTGATATATCCTCTATTCAACATTCGGCTATATATGTGAGTTTTTCCTCATGAACCACCCAATATAGGAACATTCATTTTATTCATATTCCTGATGGATTATCATTTCCGGAATATTGCAAGTATTATCCGAGAACGTCCGGCCAAGACGTGGGATGTCCAGATGAGGACCGTATATAGCTAGACGTACTATATTAGATTCGAGACTTACAGATTGAGAGCAGATGCATTAAAGTATTTTTCCGTCGACCACCTCGTATTAACGAGTAAGTTTAATGTTTATGAAATCGTTCATTAATGACCCCTATTAATGATCAATTTGTCTATTAATGCACGATTGTTTTATAGGCAACCAAACATACACCGCGTGCATTCATTGTTTATGCTATAACTTACGGAATCTGCATTTAAATCGAAAATATGGATTTCATTGAAGATTTTCCGTTAACGGGTTCGCCTTTCCAAGTTTCTGTAACAATTTTAATCCCTATTTTCTAACACAAGGAATTTATTTTCTATGTTGATCATTTCGACAAATGTCAAATGTCACTATAATGTCAGTAACAAAATGATGAATTCGCGAACCAAGTTTTCTTCATTGCAGGAGAAATGAGAAATATAGTCGACGGACATTTTTTTTAACCAACTCGTATATTAAAAGGCGATTAATGATCTCAAACATTAACGCGCTCGCTTCACTCGCACGTTGAAATATCTCGATCATTAATCGCCCTCATTAATACACTAGTTGGTTAATAGTAATTTAACCAACTAGTATATTAATGAGGGCGATTAATGATCGAGATATTTTAACGTGCGAGCGAAGCGAGTGCGTTAATGTTCGAGATCATTAATCGCCTTTTAATATACAAGTTGGTTACAAAATTTTTCCGTCGACTATATTTCTCATTTCTCCTGCAATGAAGAAAACTTGGTTCGCCAAATTATCATCCATCCGGAAACTGCTAAGAATCACCCAGTATAGCCCCGTTACTGACATTAGACATATTTGACATTTGTCGAAATGATCAACATAGGAAATAAATTTCTTGTGTTAAAAAACAGGGATTAATATCATGTCAGAAACTTGGAAAGGCGAACCCGTTAACGGAAAATCGTCGATGAAATCCATATTTTCGATATAAATGCAGATTCCGTAAGTTATAGCATATACAATGAATGCACGCGGTGTATGTTTGGTTGCCTATAAAACAATCGTGTATTAATAGACAAATCGTTCATTAATAGGGGTCATTAATAAACGATTTCATATACATTAAACTTAGTCGTTAATACGAGGTCGACGGAAAATAACTATTATTGTATCACACATATTACATTACAATACAAAATTACATTTCACATTCAAGAAAGCAGGACATCTTGCTATAGCTCAGTGCTCTGTGATGAGTCCTTCGCGTGGTGCAGAGGTGGCTGGTGCTGGCCAGGGAATGTAAGTGTGTTTGTGAAGTGTTAGTCGTTAGTCTCAGAGACCTATCTAAGCATATTACCTGGGGCCAAGCCCTTATAGGTGATCTCACTGAGGTTACCCAAGAGGGTGGGGGGACCCTAATAACACAATTATGTCCCATGGATATCCTTAGGACGTCCTGTCGGGACATTCAGGACGTCCTCGCAGGGACGACAACACATTGAAAGTACCAACTGTGACGGCCGTAGGACGTCATTTCTAGGGCATTGGAGGAGTACAGTGCATGTACCAATTGGGACATCCGATGGATATCCCTAAGGGACATACGAAGGATGTCTCTAAGGGGCGGAATGTACCATCGCAGGGACATTTTATGGTTGTCTAGAAGGGACATCATATTTATATAAGATCTGAGGTCATGCCAGAATATGTTCTACTCGGGACATCCGATGGATGTCGCTAAAGCAACGTTCAAAATCATATCCCATCAGGGACATGCCAAGGACGTCCTTACATGGACATTCTACAATATGTACCACGTGATCGTCTAAGCGAGATGCTATTTCTAGGACATTCGAAATGATGTACCAGCTGTGACATTTCGTGGACGTCCTTGCTCGGACATTGTATGAGATGTACGGGATGGGACGTCCCAAGGACACTTATTTTTGGTTCGGGACATACGGACGTGAATTGTACCAAATTGGGACGTCCCTAGGACGTTGTGTGCTAATAGGGTATGGAATCTGAATATTTCTAAAAATTATTCTAGAGAGCAATAGAATATTCTCTTGGACATATTCTATGAATATCTGAGGAACTCTCATTTGCATATTCAGATATTCTGGATAATAATATCACTAATAATAATTCCTAGAAAATTCTTTTATGATTCTTATTCTTCTTTCTTCAAAAGTAATATGATGGGGAGATTCATGGAATATCTGATGCTGTCTGGGATGAGTAGAGGCAAGAGGCCAATGATGATGAGTATATATATATAGGAAGTAAATAAAATTCTTTTGAAGTTTTTCGAAAATCATTATTTTTAAATCTTATTAAACCTGCATATATTCCATGTATGACAGATCTATATCTCTGCGAATAAATATTTTCAATATTCAATAATTTTTCGTCCTCATATAATAAATATGCTTATTTCATTATAAACTCCGTAAAAATACCTAGATGGTAAGAATATTCACCCACCTGGTAACACTGGATCAGAATTCGAAAGCTTGTCGTGTCAACTTGGCAACGAAGCACGATCCTGAATCGATCTTTCCGAAGATCGAACTTTTCACCTTCGAAAATCGAACTTTTTAAGAGATCTCTGTTTATCATTTTTGACTGATAAGAAATACATGCAATCATTAATTTCTTAGTGAGCGAATTATAGTAATTTTGTGAGCATATACATGAATGTTTTCCGAATTTTTGAGATCGATCTTATTGAAAATTTTTTGAGGTTCGGTTGGTTTCTTATATTTTGATTTAATCTCTTTCGATCTAGCTAGATCGATCGATTCTATGAACTTTTTCATTAAGATTTTCTCATTCTCACTGTGATGATATCTTGGCCATGCCTCCGTAATCTCATATAATTATATCGAGATCCCGACTTTTACAAGTCGAGATCTTGAGTTTGAATATGGGTTTGATAGAAAATACTATGGAATGGAATGGATTCTGTGTAGATTGATGTGTAGGAGTAAACAGGGGCTCACCCACAGTTTCGCACCTTTTTGTTCAACATACACTGAAGCACCCATAATAATATAAGTCTATGGTAGCACCAAAAGTAAACAGGATACGGGATTGCAATACTAAAATTCTTTTGGATACCAATGCCAATTCGAATATTGGCGCCATTTTTCGCGCAGGTTTCTTGTGATTGCCCTTCCTGAACTGAAAATGTTCTGAACCCGTTCCCCCCGTCCTCCGTCCTCTTGAGCGTTGTTGTGAATTCAAGATGGCGGTAATTAGTGTTGTGCCCGTTTATGGAAAGGAGTCGATAATGTCAATCTAATAAATAATATATAGTATCTGCAGTCGTGTTCTCTCTAAAATAAAGTGTTTTTTTATGTTTTTGACATGTGATAAGTTTTAACTGTTCAATTTTCATTGTTAATATCGGCTCGGCGTGTTTGCATTCATTCATATAAATTAGATCTGTATGCAGAGATTGTAATCTGCAAATTGTTATCAGCGGGATTATTCATTATTCAGGTTTGTATTCACTTTTCAAATTAGTATTGTTTCTTTCAATTGTTGTAGTTTCACAAAGTGCACATACCTATTTGTTGTCAATCATCTGACAAATAATGTTATGTTTATATTTGCATTATGTCAATTTTTTTTATATATAATTTTCATTACAGGCGGAATGTGGGAAATTTGCCAGTATTTTGGAAAGAAATAGAAAAACTCAATCATGACAGATACAAGGAGAAGAGTGAAGCTGTATGCTTTGAATGCAGATAGACAATGGGATGACAGGGGTACTGGACATGTTTCTTCATCCTATGTTGATAGGTTGAAGGGTATTTCATTACTGGTGCGTGCTGAAAGTGATTGTTCTCTATTACTGGAATCCAAGATTCAGCCTGATACTGCCTACCAAAAACAGCAGGACACTTTGATTGTTTGGTCTGAAGGGGACAATTTTGATTTGGCACTAAGTTTTCAAGAAAAATTAGGATGTGATGAAATCTGGGAGAAAATTTGTCAAGTGCAGGGCAAAGACCCTTCTGTTGAAATTACTCAAGACATTGTGGAAGAATCAGAAGATGAAAGGTTCGATGATATGTCAGACTCTGCTCCACCAATAGAATTACCAAGTTGTGAACTGAGTAATTTAGAAGACATAAGTGAATTGATCACAAACTGGTTGATTTCTCCTACAAGAAAAGAAAAGTTAGCTGCAGCAATTGAAAGTGAAGGATACATTAGAAAGTTGATCAACCTTTTTCATATGTGTGAAGACCTAGAAAGTACAGAAGGATTACACCATCTGTATGACATATTCAAAAATATCTTTCTATTGAATAAGAACGTTCTGTTTGATGTTATGTTCAGTGATGATTTGATATTTGATATTGTTGGTTGTCTAGAATATGATCCATCCTCTTCACCACCCAAAAGACATCGTGAATATCTGAAACAACAAGCCAAATTCAAGGAGGCCATTCCCATAAAAAATCCTGAACTATTATCTAAAATTCATCAAACATTTCGGGTACAATACATCCAAGATGTTGTTCTTCCTACCCCATCAGTTTTTGAAGAGAATATGTTATCCACATTGAGTAGTTTTATATTCTTTAACAAAGTTGAAATTGTGTCTTTGGTACAAGATGATGAGAAATTTTTAACTGAACTTTTCACAATGTTAACTGATCTGAGCACTCCAGACTCCAAGAGGAGGGAGTTGGTATTGTTTTTAAAAGAGTTTTGCAACTACGCACAGAACCTACAGCCCCAAGCCAAGGAGTCCTTCTACAAAACACTTACAGCTTTTGGTATATTACCAGCTTTAGAAATAACACTTGCTATGGATGACCAGAAGACAAAGACTGCCTCAATTGATATACTTACTTATATTGTGGAATTCTCACCATCAGTTGTGAGAGAGTACACTCTTCAACAAGCAAGTAATACAGATGAGGTAAAGACAATATAATATATGTGTGGGTTCCAAATGTGTAGACATTTAAGAAATCTTGATTGGATACGTCAAAAATCAATTTCAAACCTTTTTATCTCCAGATAGGAATGCACTTGCCCAGTAATTATTTTTGCAATTCCATCTTGGCACAGGAAAATTTAATTTGATTTATTGGGTTTGTCTGATATTAAGTCACTTTTTCTGTGTATTACTTTCATGATGGTTCTGGGGGATGTATTTCTATTATTATCATTGCAGAGTTTCAGATTAGTAAAAAATTACTGAGAAAAAAAATCTAAATTCAATCTCTACTTGATATATTTTCAAGTATATTTCTTACAGGAACTCACTCATATTATTATTTTTTATTATTCCAATTATTGGTAGTAGTAGTCTAGTAATAGATTTAGTTTTTACCTCTCAAAATGTACTCAGATTGAGAAGCACAGAAACCATATCAAATCTTGAAAAAATGTCAGTGAGGAACATGCAAAAGTAGTTGATTTCATTCCAAGCCACTGTCACTATAACTAATACTATAGTTAATTCTTTCTCAATATATGATTTTTGTAGTTCATGTTCTTCTGATTCAATAGAGTTTTTTTGTTAAAAATTCCAATAGGTAAAGTATGTACTGATATGTCACATCATTGAAAAACCAATTTTATCAGTAATTCAAAGCACAAGTCAACAAGAAAGTAAAATCAGGATGAACCCAAAAAAATTATTTATTCTGCCCATCAAACTACTGATGAAATAAGGTTTCAGATCAGGTGTCACACTGGAATATAGAACAGTTTTATATCTCACTAGAGAGTGCTTAAATCCCTAGCAGTAATTTAGCTGAATTTTCCATAAATTAACTTTTTTGATGATGTTTACTATTCATTTGTAATAATACTAATCATCATATTGTATTGGTAAGAGTGACAGGAGAGGGTAAGGATAAATGACAGGTGATGGTGATTCAGATTCTATAGCAAGGCAGATTATTAGATTAAAATTTATCTATATTTGCATTTTTTTTACAATATTCAATTATGTTTCTTTATACATGCCTCACCCTTAATAATATCTTAGTTTGAAATATTCAAAATATATTTTTTTCTACTCCCTTGTCACAATACGCCAAATAAGTATCTACTACCCATTTATTAATATTGTCAATGCCAATTTCCATTATGAAAGGAATTTTTGGCCTATAGAAACACTACATAATCAAGTGGATCTATGTTTCTATCTCACTTGCATGAGTTGTTTGACCTTTAAATTCAATTGACATTCAATCACAGTGCATCAAAAGTTTTATTTTATTTTGTATTGGTCCTAGAAAAAATAGTGTATGCAATCATCATGTTATGGCTAGTAACACACTCACACATGGTTTAGGACACTGGCTTTCAGCTCACAACATAACTTACCTGGGGTTCATGTATTAATAGCTATCATTACATGATCCCCGCATATAATACTATTCCAGCACAGCAGAGGAAAGTGTACCACTGTCAGGCATTGTAACCCTTGTCTCCTTGTCATGGGTGACAGCCGGCAGACAATTTAATAGTTATTCATTATTCAAGGGAAAAAACTAGTAGATTTTTGCAAAACCGTGAGCTAAAATCTAATATTCTTCCCCTATAGGTATAATAAACTATTTTTCTTAGTGACTGGACAAAGGATGACAGGAATTGCACCTGCCTTGCAGACATCTCATCACTCTTTTGACGTAATCAAATATCTCAGCCTAATTCTGTGATTTGATTTAAAAAAATTGTGAAGTCAGTTGCTGTTCAGTAATTTGAGTAACTGTGAATTGGAATGGAAGATACTCACTTTTTTCCCCTGGGAAAAAAGTAATTCATGAAAAGTGACATTTTATAACCTGTCAACAGAGATGAAATGTCAAACTTATTTCCCGTCACAGAAAAAGATATTTTTCATTTATTTAAACAACATGTGATTTCTTTTTGAACCTATATCTTTATTATGAGATATATATGTTTGGTAGTTTTGATTTTAATTAATAGTGTTATCTGGTTAGTAGCTACTAGTAGTACCTAAGTATTATAATATTTTCAAGTATCTATCATTTCAAAGAGATGAAATTTAAACACCTTCAAATCTTTCAAATGGGGTTCCCGCTGGGGTTTCAAAATGAAAATTATATAGATGTTCTGAGCATCATATTCAGAAATGAAAATATAGTTTCAATGGAAACTGAATATTATTGAATTTGGTCAACTTTGTTGTTTTCCTCGTTGTTTTCATATCACAATATTGGTAAATGAATTTTTTGGCCTATCCTGGGATATTTGATATTTCTACTAAAAATAATTTAAAACATTTAAAACACAATCATAAAAAGTTCCTAATGTTGTAGTGATGATGATGATGATGATCAATATTTGGTCTTGGGCTTATGTTTTTGGGTGTTTTTTTTCATTTTGGTGGAAGATTTTGAGGAAGGTATTCTATGCCAGCTTTTCCTTATAGCCGGAGAACTGGCGACGAATTTTGAGAAGATCCTTTTGGCAAGTTGAAATTGTAAAAATATACAATTTTCTCAATGGGAGAATCCATTCCCACAAGTCTGGTAGATCGTTTGCGGTTACTGCGTTACTGGGCAGCATATAACATTTGAAAAAAAAAACATTCTCTTGGCATCTTCATTCCTTTTTTATCTTCCAGTTCAGTATCAATTGAATTTGAAATAAAAATGTTTTTTCGAGATTTTCATGTATGACTGTTCACTGATTGCTTTGATTACAAGTGATGGCAATAATCACTACACTCCACCTGCCCAAAATAAATGATTATGAATATTCTTATTTTTTTCAGTTTTATTATTGATCTCTATTAGATACTGATCTGTGTAGCCAAATTGGTCAGTACATGATGAGTATTTTTTTCCATTGTGAATATGCCACAGAAATACTTTTACCACATCTTTGAATAGTGCATGTCTTTTCAGTGTATGTTGAAAGGAGATGTGTGAAAGCAATGATACATTTTTATATATAAGGTTTTCCACTTGAAAAAATTATCGCAGACGTCATTACTCAAACATGAATCATTTTGTATATTTAATTTTCTCTTATGAATGTGACAAAATGAGATCCAGAATCCACCTATTTCAGGAGATTTTTAAGTACAAAATATTGTGATTAGATACTGATCTGTGTAGCCAAATTGGTCAGTACATGACGAGTATTTTTTTCCATTGTGATTATGCCACAGAAATACTTTTACCACATCTTTGAATAGTGCATGGCTTTTCAGTGTATGTTGAAAGGAGATGTGTGAAAGCAATGATACATTTATATATATAGGGTTTTCCACTTGAAAAAATTATCGCAGACGTCATTACTTAACATGAATTATCCTGTATATTTAATTTTCTCTTATGAATGTGACAAAATGAGATCCAGAATCCACCTATTTCAGGAGATATCTAAGTACAAAATATTGTGATTTTGAAGTCCGGGGCCCCCTCTGCCGCGAGGGCTGGATCCTCCTTTGTTTGAAGAGGTCTGGTAATACCTTATTCGTGATAGAAAATAACACGTCGTCCCTCCTAGCGGCAACACCTCGAACACTTCTAAGCGGTTTGTTCTGATGATATGACCAATGAGCTCAGACAAAAAACAAATGTGAACCAAGAAAAACTAAGTAAACATGCCGCTTTGACGGCTTCCAAGAACTCCGATAGGTGGCGTATGTTTATTTTCTATCGTGAATAAGTTGCCAAATAGTATCTTCATTGTTTTATTGGGATCAAATGTGACACTTTGTTTGACAAGCGATATTTGCGTTTGCGTGGCGGAGCGACCGCGAAGCCGAGCGAATTAAACAGAGTAACTTTTGATCCCAATGAAACATGCTATTTTTTTCTGCAATCGAAATAACTGGTATCTGATTAATTGAATATAAGTGAAAATTTCACACCAAACATTTTCGATCAATTAGAACTTTATTTACGGTTATCCATTGCATACATTATAATCACAAATATTATAACAAGATAGAAGAAAAATATATAAATATATACCTATGTAAATATTAAACACAACAAATACAAATTAACATATAACAAGAGAATATCCTAAATCAGTATGAATCTGAATCTATCACAGTAATCACACACAGTTGCTATATATCCTAGATCATTATGAATCTATATCACAGTAATCAAATACAGCTGCTTATAAAGGGGTACTTACTATTGATGGTAATCAATGACTTCTTGAAAAACTGAAATCAATTACTGAAAATGTCAACATGTATACAATTATTATTGTATTGCCTTGGTATCCTTGAGAGGGGGCTATGCATCGTTTGTGAAATCAGTGTATACACTATCAACCTGTACACGATTTTCAAATGCATTTAAAATATTAGATTGATATATCATCAAATTTGTAACTGTGGATCTTCCCGAGTGGAAGCCATGCTGTTCTGGAATAATGATATGTCTAGAGGACCACTTTAGTTGTACTGAAATGAGTTTATCAAACACTTTGGGTATCTCAGTTTGGATTGCAACACCCCGATAATTTGAAATATTTTCTTTATCTCCAGTTTTGTATATTGGTGTAATGAAAGTATTTTTTTCTACAAGCGTGCGTGATTCACCCTATACCCGCACGCAATTTAGTTTGGGAAGTGTCATTTTCCCACCTCCATTAAGCTAGCAGAACCACTTTGAATTTTTCAATTTTTTCTTCGGCAATAATTTTAGGCTAATTTAAGGCTAATTTATTACCCTATTGCCGAATTTATTGCTCTTCGATTTATGTAAAAAAACGTGGGTTCTGCTAGCTTAACGTTAAGCTAGCAGAACCACTTCGTAAATAAAAGTTCAATCACAAAACTAATTATACCATAACTTAAGGCTAATTTTAGGCTCCAATCCTAGCCTATTGCCAATTTTTTCGCACATTGTTTTTTTGAAAAAATCATGGGTTTTGCTAGCTTAACCGTTAAGCTAGCAGAACCAAATC